CCCCCCTACCTGGGGGGGCCCCCCCGCGCACCCCCCCCCAACCGCCGGCACAGCCCCGAGACCTTCGGGGGGCCCGAGGGGGGCGCGGGGGGCGCCGAGCCCGACGGGCAGATGCAGCTCGTGACCAGCCTGTGAGACCCCCGGGAGGGGCGCCACGCGGGACCCCCCCTCATGCCGGGGGTCGGGGGCGCGCGGGGGGCACGGGGTCACTGCGGGACACCCCCTTGCCAGGGGGTCCGGCCTCGAGCGGGGACGCAGCCTGGGGGGACATGGGGGACCGGGCTCGCACGGGGACCCTCCCCTGCTCGAGGCTCCGGGGGCGCGCGGGGGGGTCTGGCCCCGAGCAAAGACCCCTCCTCACAGCAGGGTCCGGCCTCACACGGGGGTCCGGCCTCACACGGGGGTCCGGCCTCACAGCAGGGTCCGGCCTCACAGCAGGGTCCGGCCCTGAGCTGCAACCCCCTCACACGAGGCCTCGTCCTCACGGGGAGGGGTGGCCTCGCACGAGGGTCCGGTGGCACTCAAGGACCCCCACCCTGCGTGAGGAGGCAGCACCGAGCAACGAGCAGGCCTGGCACGAGGACATGGCCGCCGCCAGAGGGGACAGCCCGTCCCCGGGCCCGGCCTTGCACGAGGAGCCGCGGTGGCACCGGGCCGCGGTGTCACACCAGGAGCCGCGGTGGCACCGGGCCGCGGTGTCACACGAAGACCTGGCTTTGCACAAGGGCCTTGCACAAGGATCTGGCGCCACACGTGGGGACCTCACGCAAGGATCCACCCAGTGTCACCCGAGGATCCATCTGGCGCCACACGTGGGGACCTCGCCCGGGGATCCACGTGGTGCCACACGTGCGGACCTTGCCTGGGGACCTCGCTCGGCCGTGTCCCCCCTCACACCAGGACCTCGCACCAGGACTTTGCACCCGGACCTTGCACGGGGCCCCCCCCTGTGCCCCCGCCCCGGCGTGGGGGCGTTTTGGGAGGATCCCTCAGCCACGTTCTGAGGGCCCCCCCAAAAGCCATGCCGGGGGGGCCCCCATGGCCTCGGCAGCACCGAGCCGGGGGGCGAGGCACTAACACCCCGCAAACTGAGGTGTCCCCCCACAGCAGGGACCCCCCTCAAAATGGGGACCCCCCACAAAGAGACACATTTTCCTTGTAATATAGATGTAAATGGACCCCCCTACCTGGGGGGGCCCCCCCGCGCACCCCCCCCCAACCGCCGGCACAGCCCCGAGACCTTCGGGGGGCCCGAGGGGGGCGCGGGGGGCGCCGAGCCCGACGGGCAGATGCAGCTCGTGACCAGCCTGTGAGACCCCCGGGAGGGGCGCCACGCGGGACCCCCCCTCATGCCGGGGGTCGGGGGCGCGCGGGGGGCACGGGGTCACTGCGGGACACCCCCTTGCCAGGGGGTCCGGCCTCGAGCGGGGACGCAGCCTGGGGGGACATGGGGGACTGGGCTCGCACGGGGACCCTCCCCTGCTCGAGGCTCCGGGGGCGCGCGGGGGGGTCTGGCCCCGAGCAAAGACCCCTCCTCACAGCAGGGTCCGGCCTCACACGGGGGTCCGGCCTCACAGCAGGGTCCGGCCCTGAGCTGCAACCCCCTCACACGAGGCCTCGTCCTCACGGGGAGGGGTGGCCTCGCACGAGGGCCCGGTGGCCCTCAAGGACCCCCACCCTGCGTGAGGAGGCAGCACCGAGCAACGAGCAGGCCTGGCACGAGGACATGGCCGCCGCCAGAGGGGACAGCCCGTCCCCGGGCCCGGCCTTGCACGAGGAGCCGCGGTGGCACCGGGCCGCGGTGTCACACGAAGACCTGGCTTTGCACAAGGGCCTTGCACAAGGATCTGGCGCCACACGTGGGGACCTCACGCAAGGATCCACCCAGTGTCACCCGAGGATCCATCTGGCGCCACACGTGGGGACCTCGCCCGGGGATCCACGTGGTGCCACACGTGCGGACCTTGCCTGGGGACCTCGCTCGGCCGTGTCCCCCCTCACACCAGGACCTCGCACCAGGACTTTGCACCCGGACCTTGCACGGGGCCCCCCCCTGTGCCCCCGCCCCGGCGTGGGGGCGTTTTGGGAGGATCCCTCAGCCACGTTCTGAGGGCCCCCCCAAAAGCCATCCCGGGGGGGCCCCCATGGCCTCGGCAGCACCGAGCCGGGGGGCGAGGCACTAACACCCCGCAAACTGAGGTGTCCCCCCACAGCAGGGACCCCCCTCAAAATGGGGACCCCCCCACAAAGAGACACATTTTCCTTGTAATATAGATGTAAATGGACCAGCCCTCCCCTCCCCCCCCCAACCGGGAAACTGAGGCACGGGGGGGCCCCCAAAACCACCCCCCCTCTCCGGGGGTCCCCCCAACCCCAGCGGGGCCCTCCCGGAAGCACAACCCCCCCAGCCGGGGGGGGCCTCGCCACGCTGTACATAGGGATGGGGGGGCCAAGGGCGGGGGGGGGGGGGGGGGCAATGGGATCCCGTTAACAGTTCTGGGACCCCCCCAAGACTGATGGGACCCCACAATCTGGAGACACCACCCAGGGCTTCGGGATCCTTACTGGGGTGTTGAGACCCTGCCCACATTTTGGGGACCCCCCCGGGTAACGGGGACCCCCAAGTTCTGGGGATCCACAGGGAACTTGGGGACCCCCCCAGGACTGAGGTTCCCCCACACTTTGGAGACCCCCCCTCCAGAGCTTGGGCACCCCCTCCTGGGGTCCAGGGATCCCCCCAGGGTATTGGGGATGCCCCCAAATTTGGGGACCCCCCCCAGTATTTGGAGTCCCCTTACTTTGGGGGCCCCCTGTGTTTTGCGGACCCCCAGGGTATCAGGGACCCCCCGGATTTTGGGGACCCCCCCAGACCCCCTCAAGGGTTTTGGGGACACACGGGGGGGGTGTCCAGCCCCTCCCCAACTTTTGGGGTTCCCCTCCTTTAGCATGGGGGGACCCCAAAACTTCCTCGGGGACCCCAAATTGGGGGGTGCAGAGGGGAACACCCCCTTCCCCCCACCCCTGCATCTTGGGGTCCCCCCCGGGTTTGGGGGTCCCTCCCCTCCCCCCCCC